GTGTGTGTGTGTGTGTGTGTGTAGTATATATATATATATATATATTGTTACTATGAATAGACAAATATGGCTAAAAGAAATACTTGTTGGCTAAAAAAAATGATGAACTGTCCCTGTATATGTGTACAAAGGGTTATATTTAATGGAGTTGGTGTTTTTTTATTTGAAGATTATGGATTATTGATGTGTCAAATGATCTGTTATAACTGAGCTTTTATGTTTCACATGAAATATTTGTAGAAGTTGTACAGAATGTATAGCCTCAAAGTTTCCATACCAAATTGTAAATTAATAAATGTTTACATAAATATTGAATTTTTTTCATTCTTTCTCTCCAGAATGAAAACCAGATAAGCAAAAGATTGTGTTCACTTCTCGGTAAAAGAAACCATGTCCTCTAGTGTCCGGACACCTCTTCAAACTGTTCATGAATCTGTGACACCAGAACAGGTAGTTCAGTTTTCAAAAGGTTTCTTTATATACACACACTTTCTCACAGCCAGTCATTTAGAGCAGTTTAACCTGTCATATAACTATTAAAAATTATTAATAAGAAAACCCATATTTAAAATTGTATATCATAGAAAAGCTGAAAGTGGTTAGAGACATTAGTCTTTTGACTATTGTAGAAAAAAGAATACTACATGCAAAAAATAACTCAGTAGATTGTAACAAATATTTAACACTTCTATTAGCAAAACACCAACTTCTGTATAACTTGAGAAATAGAAAGAAAAAATTAAGATTGATCAAGAAGGGCTTATATTATAGAGCTCATAGTTGGCTCTCAGTAACTGGATTATACACTAATTGTTTTTCTCATTGCCAAAATTATGAAGAATTTTAATGAAAAAGAAGTGTTAAGCCCAGTCTATCATTGTTTTGGCACTTGTCATCTACTTAGATCAATCTTGGAGAATTTTACCCCTTATAAATAACCCTGGACAATAGCAAATAGAAAAAAACTGAGCCTCTTGTAGTGGTAATTTTTTAAGTATTTTAAAAATGTATTTATAGAAATTTCCCATTTTGTATGAAAAACTGTATAATGATAATATGTGCAAAAAAGCCACTAGATTAAACCAGTTTTTTTAAATAACATACATATCATTTAATACTTATTATGAGACTAAACAAACATATACCTAAGTAAACAACAGCTAGTATAATGAAGTTTGAACTTTTGTTCTGACGTTTACTGAAAACCTTAAAATTCTTAGGGAGAGGAGTCTGCTCCCCCTCCTCGGACAACTTCATCACGAACTCGCTCTTCTGATGAGCCCCATGTGGGAAGATATCGTCTACTAAAAACAATAGGAAAAGGAAATTTTGCAAAGGTGAAATTAGCAAAACATCTTCCAACAGGAAAAGAGGTGAGCTTGTAAGATAATTTAATATCTTTTAGTAGTCTGTCCCAGTTGAATATCAAGCAAACTTGGGAAAAAAAAAGTTAAACCATAAGAGTTTTGTTGCAAATTCCAGTATTACTTAGTTTCTTGATATATATTGTTGTAATAGTTGGATTATTTTGTAAAAAAAAATAAAAATAATGTATAGTCCGTTTAATGATTAAAACATTGCAATTCTTGTGCTACAACTACTTTGGTTAGCCTAACTGATGTTTACTGATAGGCCTAAGTTTATAGTAGCTGCAAACACAACAATTTCATGCACTTGCTAATTCTCTCAAATCTTTCTTCTTCAAAACACAAACTCAATATTTATGCCACTGAACTGACTTACAAAGTCACAAGTTCAACAACTCACTCTGATAGACTCAGGGTAACTTGCTAATAAATTCAATATTCGTTGATCCATCTACTTTGTCTTAACTTGTATTTTATACTGTTGATGCTGTTAAAAATCTGTGAAGAAAGTTTGAGACATTAAGTTGTGTCCATCATGCTGTGTGAAACCTCTCTCTGGCAAGTAACAATACAAACCTTTAGAAACATCTTGACTAAAAACATAGTTTACAGTGAAGATAAATATTTTCAACAGACAGCTGAGATGTTTTAAGATTTAATTTCTAATGTCCAGTAAAAGATTCATCAATAAACTGTGATTAGATGGAACAAGCTGAAATACCCGTCAACCGAGGGAGATGTTTAAACTTAATTAAAACAATGTAAGTTTAACAACAATCATATATTTCAAAGTAATAACTTGAACATAAACTTTATCTCAAAATTTTAAATTTATAACAAAGCTTCTTCATAAACAACATTTGCAGTTTCCTTTCCATCTGCCAACAAATAAAAAGTTTGAGGTGATCCCACCCTTGAACACCCTACATCTCATTGACTATGAGAAAAGCGTGGTTGTTTGAGAAACAGTCGAGCAACTTTCATACTTTGACCTTGAATCCATTTAGAATATTCAACATTATCTAAAGCGTCAACCTGCCAAGATTGCATGAGATTGACTCAATAGGCTGGTAGTAATTAACCAACAGGCTTTACAAAGTAGAAGTAGGGTTAAGTTCAATTTTGACCCCTTTGGACATTCCTCATAGTTTATAGTGTTTACATACAAATTTTGGTTGAGATTGGCCCAATAGGTTCAGAGGAGTTAAAATGCAAACAAACACACACTTCATCTTTATATATAAGAGAGAGAGAGAAGTTTTACATACAAATTTCACCCCCTCATTCTCTTTCTTGACAAGATGTTCATTTTAGGAGTAGTGATTTATTTGGTGTGTTTTTTAATGGACTGTTAATTCCACATACAAATAAAGAAGTTGTGCCAGTTTTTATTTTAAAAGTAAAGAAAGAAAATTTTTCAAATATTTTAAGGATGAATTTTTCAAAATTCTTTAAATAAGAATGTTCTTTTTACTTCAGAAAAAAGTAACTATGCTTTGGTTGAAATCAAATTACCTAATAAATTATATATGGCTTATTACGAGAGTTTGTATTACATTGTTATGTAATGCATATTTTAGCCCTTTCATACAATGTTTACATTGAAACATTTTGCTATCTGTTGAAACTGTTCAAGATTCATATTGAATGGAAGCTGATAATACATTATCAGTAGAGTTAATTTTAATTTGTTTGCAGTCTACGAAGATAAATATTTAATTGCATTTTAGGAAAAATATTGTTAGGTAAAATATTTTAACATTGCATTGTTTTTTTTTAGGTGGCAATTAAGATTATTGACAAAACCCAGCTAAACCCATCTAGTTTACAGAAGGTAGGTTACATATAATTTTATTATTTGTATATGTATAATTCCTGTTTTCTAGGTAAAATGTTAAGTATGTAGGGTACAAAAAATTTACATTCATCTTGTATGTATGTGTGTAAGTAAGACAAATGTTGAGTTATAGTTGAAAACCAAATAAGTACAAAACAGAGAGGAACAGACTGAATTAATTATGAAGTTGAACAAGACAGTTATAGTTGTTGTACCATCGTTCCTATTTGTACTTAAAAATTGAAAGTTGTTGAAAATAATTTTGGTCTGAGAGTGCTTGAAGAGTTCTTATTTTTTACTTCTCAAAATATTTTAAGAGTTTTATAACTTATGTAGACATGGTTTGCAAAACATTGTAATATCTGAAGATTTCATGGCATCAGTACACATAAACAGGTGTCCAGTGCAGTAACCTTGCTCTTGTTTATTGCTAAATATACATGTAATTTCATACAGGCCCTAAAAAAATTACAAGTTATTTCAATACTGGACTGTAAGATGTAGATTTTCCTTTTTCAAAAGTTCATGATCTTTACATCCAGAAGTTGAGTTTCATCCTATCGGCACGGGTACCCTTTACTGTGCATGACACAAGGTTTTAGTGTCTTACATTCAAAATTTTATTAAACTACTTTTTGTTTATGTTATACCAATTAGAATAGCATAAAATATTAGCTAATAATTCATATTTTAATAGTGTACAAGTTTTAAGTTCTTCATTCTAAAAGGAAATACATAAAGATCCTGAATTTCCACTAGTGTAACACACATGACAAATGTTGTCTTTGTATGTCATCATTCCTATTTTATCCACCACCCCTCGAAAATGTATGAAATTAAAAGTAAAATGCTCTCTATAAAATCGTTATTGCTCAAACAGACCATAATTTTATGGTCTTCAATTTTGTTTTGTTACAGAGCTATCAAAGAGAAAATCAGACCCCTCTGCCACACCCACCTGTTACATCCTCTTTTTCACAATTGGTTGATAGTTTTCTCTTACATTTCATTATATATTATAAATTTATAACCAATAGAAAGTCAAGGTTTTCATCTATCAAATGAAGTATTGTATAACATTGTGTTATGAACAAATAACCGTCAATGTCACTCTCGGTAGCAACATCGTTCCCATGGGAAAGCTAACGACTAGTTTGGATGAATTTCTAACGGCTCTTGTCGCATAGTTAGAAAAACAGGAAAATTTTTAGAAGTAAGTGAATTTGCCTACTTTTTGCATGTTATTAGTCTATATACTTCAGTGTATTATTTAATTAAATAAAAATTGTTAAGTGATTTACTATAATCACTAAAAAAAATCAGGCTTAACTCTCATCGACAATCGAGGGCAAGAAAAAAGAAGATTGGGTAAGTACTTGTTTTTCATATTTATTCTTTATTTATTATTATAAAAGTAACTAAAATTAAAAGTAAGGATCTTTCTAAGTTATTTACGACTAGAATAGGTAAAATAAGTAATTATAATAATAATAATATAATTAAAATTGTTCACAAAGCACGCACGTGAGCAGCTCGTGGGTAATGTAATTCGATAGCATAACGTGAGCTGCACGTTCACCGAGTGATTTACAATTTATAATGGCGCGGATAGCTGTTACAGTTCATAGGGCAATAAAACAATAAAATGTAATTATAAATAAATGTATAATGTTACAAACTTAGAGCGACTTAGGATAAACAAAGGTAGTTTCATGTTGCAATTTGAAGTCATACTTGGAAGAAAAGAAGGTTAATTTAGGTTTATTTCGATTTTTTTGGTGGTTACGAGGTCAGTCGAATTGACTGATCCCATTTTGAGATTTAGGGTAGAGAAAATAACATATAAACTATAAGGATTTATTGG